AATAAATTATTCTCTGGGACTTCCCACTCTATAACTATGGGAGATTGATTTTATCTTTTGTATCTCTTGATTTCCCAGTCAAGACCCTCATACTAATGACAGTTAAGTTTTTGGAGGAAAAAAATTGAAATCTGCAGATATAGAAGGATTATACTTCTCTGTCACTGCAAAATCTACTAAAATTGCCATCCTATTCTGATAGAAAAAAACATGCATATCTATCTGTCTGTCTATCTCTCTCTCTATGTATATAGATATAAACGCCTCCAGAATGCACACTGTAGCTTTTGCAGGATTTTACAAATTCTAAAATTTCCATTGAAATTAGAATAAAGGTCAAATTCTGCTTGCCTTACACATGTATGAAATGAACATTTGTACTACAATGGTGTGCGGCCAAGATTTAAACAATGAGACCTTTCAGAAATGTTCCTCCTCATCCAGTGATAAACTCCGTGTGGTGACATGTGTGTGCACACAGAGGAGATGAGAGGGGCTGAGCAATTATTGTCTTTGGTTTTGCTTTTTACACCAAAGTGGACTTTTAAGAACCCAGAGACCAAAAGGCCTGTTGTATAGCTCACTAATGTTGTGCACTTTCTGTTCATCTAGGAGCAATATGATGCTTGTAACTGGTTGGTTCTAGCATTAGTAATCTAAAAAGGCACAGTCAGAGGCTTAGCATTGTATGCACTTGAGGATGGCATAGGGACATATGTTGCATATTGCCATATGCAAAATGTATTGAAGTTGTCCTTTGGTGTGATTGGAGGAGGAAGAGAGCATTCAAAGTATTTTTCTGACCTCTGTCTCAGTGTATTTTTATAGTGTGGGTAGATTAAAAAAAAAATAAATCTTTGGCAACAAAGTTATTTCATGCATGTGATGAGAACACAGGGATTTTTAGACTTGCAGAGTATGTGGCCCATCTTATTGTAGTTGTAGAGACTTTGCTACAATAGTCTCCATGTAAAGCTTTCATCTGTTGAAGGAGAATCTCCTATGAATGGAAGCAAGCGACAATATTACAATTTTGTCAAATGTTGTCAGAATGGCAGCATTGCAGATTCAGAATGTCAGAATTGCAGCATGTCCCAGGATAAATTTTCAGTGAAGAAGAATGGCATTGCTTAATCTTATTTCGCTTTGGTAAGTAAATTCCATGTGTAATTCAATTACTGTTGCTTTGACTCGCTCTCTCTCTCCCATCCAACATCTTTGCTGTGATGGATGTTTATGGCTAAGCCTGGCTAGCCATAGACAGCTGCAGTTTAAAAACTGACCAGCTAGAAGTGGGTGATCTGTAGATATTGTTTCCTAGAGAAGTGTACGTGGTGACTTGCCTGCCTTAAACATGCATGGCTGATGCAGTAACTCTGAGGGGTATAATTTTTCATTTCAATTAAGACTAATCAGAAGAGAATCAGATGCATGTTGTAGCCCATATGTCTATGTTAACAATAGTTTCTTCATTTAATCTTTTGAAGATGACATTCTTTGGAGTAGAGCTATAATGTGTAGCATGTACATAATTTCTATTTTATCATGGGAAAGGGGATATTACTGCTATTTTGTAGCATACTTTTTTATGACTTAAGAAATTTGAAAGCAACTTGCAAATCTAAGCACCAGTCAAGGTTATGGCTAAGAGGTTAAAAGACAAATCCTGGATTTCCTTAAGTGCATTTTAAGAAAGCATCTAGATACCATGTGCCCTGCCTTTGCATCACAGTACTCCAGCTATATGTCCCCTGATAAAAATATTTGTTCTTCTGTTGAAACCTGTCAGCTGTTGAGTCAGTGCAACTCCCTAGGTCAAGATTGTAGATCATGGCCCAAAGAGACAGGACCAAAAAGAGCTATCTGAAGTGGCAGGTAGGGGGCTGAAATGAAGGTGCTCCTACATCATCTACATGTTTCAGAACCTTTTTCATCCAGAAGCTGTAGACCTCCTAGTGATCTGAGTGGAAAATTTATGCAACAGTTCTCCATAGAATTTTTCATTTATGAAGTGGGTTCAGTTTTGATGATGCCCTCATTGAACCTTTCCTTATAGTTTTTTTTTTTGTTTGTTTGTTTGTTTTTTTTTTTTTTTGGTTGTTGTTGGTTTTTTTTTGTTTGTTTTTTTTCTGTATCATCCAGTAATCTTGATAGCCTGCTTGGGAATCAGGAACCTCTTTATTCCTAGACATTGGGGTGCATAGATGTGAGGGCTGTGACCAGAATTTCAAGGATTCAGGAACCTAGAGCAGCCTGCCAGAGTGACTCTTGGAGAGGGTTCTCCCTTCATTTCCAGCAAGGTTTGGAGGTTTGGAGCAGGCTTTTCAAGTTCATAATTTTGAAATTTCTATCTTTAGTCCTATTTAGAAGTCCAAATCAGTTTATTGCCCTCATTGTCTGGGCTCTGATAGTGGCCAGTACTATGTGCTGAGGAAGATGCTGTAAAGTGTCTTAAAATGTCACCTGTGGAACTCATCTGCTCACAGCTTTTATCCTGCCCTGGATGAGGCACATGGGGGCCTCTCTGTTTTCTGAAAGATCCAGAAAGTTAATTGTTGTCTGTTAGTTATATTACAAAAACCCTTGAAGCCTGAACAGCATATAGTAATTTTAAAATGCTTTTGAAATTGCCAACAGCATTCCCTTGTCTAATGGAGCACGGTGAACACTGTCAGTTTTATATTTACTATACAGTATTCCTGCTTACGAAGAAAACCCTCTGAAGTTACCAGGTGTACAAAATACACTGGGTAGTGCTTCTAAACCTAAGCAGTTGCTGAATTTTGCCTGTTTCAGTGGTGGGATTGAAGCTCAATAAATGCAGCACAAGTATTTTTTCTGAGTACTGAAATGAATGGATTAGGTCACTCTTTTGCTCTCTTTGTGTTTCCTCTATAAACTTTGGAGATCTGAATTTGCTGTAGTTGTTTGAATCAATCTTCCAAGCAAACATTTGTAAAACAAAATTAATTATAGTGGGTAGAAGTTGTTTGTTTTCCTTTTTTTTTTTTTTCCTTTTTCCCATCCTTATGGATGTGGATTTTGCAAGTAAAGTTAGTGTGGGGTTTACTAGCCACTTACAGCTAAGGAGCAGTGTTACAATGCTTGATGGAGCATTTTAGGCATACAGAAATTGTTTACAATCAATCCAGAAGGGAACATGGCTGGAACAAATTTAAATAGTGAACATGGTTCTGGAAACCGTTATACAAAAAGGACTTCAGCAAAATCTAATTATTTGAAATTGCAGTTTCATGAAAACTAAAAGTGTGTTTAAGAAGGACTAACTTAAAAGTGGTAAGTATGTTTAATTGATCTGTTGTCTGGAAGCCTTTTTTGCTGTAGGCAGTTTATTTTTTTGTGGCAGCTTTTGTGATTTTGTTCCTTTGCAATACAGCTCTCAGCAGCCCCTTTTTACTCATGAGAATATGCTTTTTCTTACTTATTTCAAAATATAAGATGAAAATGTATTAGTTCATTTAATCATGCAAATTTAGTGATTTCATTTTGCTTATTTTGTGAGATATAATTTACTATAACTGCTAATGCAGAAACCCAAGCTCTAACAACTCAGTTAACGCTTTCTCAGCTGCTGCAGTCCAGGATTGCAGCATGTCTGATCGAGGTTTGGACCAAAAAGGATGGAGGCTGCATACTACCATGGAGGATGACTGGTCCACAGAAACCATGTGGAAATAAAGAGATTTTGTGGTGAAGACTTTCCCTTCATTGTCCTTTCTGTAGATTGGAATAACACTGGTTAGCTTCCAGTCATCAGGGACCTCCCCAGACTCCCAAGACTTTTGGTAGATGATCAAGAAGGGTCCTGTCATAACATCTGCTATCTCTGTCAGTACTCTGGGATGAATCCCATCAGGATTGTGAACTTGTGAACCTTCAGCTGATACAACTGGTTCCTTACAGTACAACAGTCTTTGCAAGATGGCTGTAGTCATGATTTTGTGGTCAAGATCATACGGATCTTGTAAAAGGCATCTGAATTTAAAGTTGTGATAACCGACCTTGGCTTAGGTAAAAAATTGATTTGGGATTTGCAGATGTAGAAGAGGAAAGGAGTAGAACTGGCAAGGCTTAAGGGCAAGGCTAATGATGACAGCCTTTAAATTATCTGCCTTACAAAACCTGGAATTTAGAGTGGGATTCCTAATTCTCAGCACTCAGTTCTTGTCAGCAAACAGACCAGATGTTTTTAGCTGTTCCTGCTGGTGTCTCACAACTATGCCTCTACTGGGAGATGCAGGAAGGTTTCCTGTATCCCAGGTACAGCTGTGTCCTGCCCTCATACTAAGATGTGTCTCCCTCCCTCATTTTACTTGCCTTTTAAATTAGGACATCTCTTTTAAAATAGCGGTAAGATTTTAAATCTAAAAGATCAGATGTTCTAAATAAGGCAAGTGTCTTGCAGGAAATACAGTATATATGGTTGTGTGGTATCAGTTTGTGGAACAGTGACAAGTCTGTGGCTACACAAATAAAATCATAATTCTGTCAATCTCAGAGATAAGAATATTTGATTTTATAATTTGGATTGTTCTTTTAAACCCAGTATTAGTCTTATGGTAACTAAGTTGGATTGTTGTACTTTGTTCTTTGGTGTCTTACACAGTTTTTATCCTTTGCTTTTCTGTTTGCTTACCATTAATTATGTTTTTTTTAATTTATGTATTAAGTTTTGTTTTGTTTCAAAGGAAATGTTACCAAATACGAAAAATGCTGAAGTCAAGTATTCTTTCCATCCAAAATGCTGAAGTGTATACTTCCATCCGTAATTTGACTGAAAATACACATAAAAATTTCTAATTAATATGCTATTTATGCAAAAGTTGTTACCTTTGAAGGCTGCAAAAAAGGGCTCTGAAGTTTTTAGCATACAAAACTTCCTGCTTTAAGAAACATCTTTTACTTTTGGATTTTATGTGTAAATTACTAATGAATCATTCATTTTACTGATATATGACCTTGATCTTTTATTTCCTCAGCCATCATGTACGTAATGGGAGCACTCGGTCCTGCAGCTGGATACTTGCTAGGAGGACTTCTTATTGGTTTCTATGTTGATCCTAGGACAACTGTTTATATTGACCAGAGTGACCCAAGATTCATTGGAAACTGGTAAGCATTTTTCAAAACTAATCTCTAAATGGCCAGATGGGAATTGAGACAGGTTGGGAAATCATATCCCTTGAGGGCTTGTTTAAGGCTGTAGAAGGAGGTCAAGGAAGAGGCTTCTGTTGGTTACTACAAACTAGCCTCTGACAGAGAGGATATGTTTGCCACAGAAGCTCATGGGCACATTGCATGGAAATCTTCTGCTTCTGGCTGCTTCTGGACTGCCTCTGACCACTGTGAGGGCTGACTGATGGCAGGACAGGATAGTGGTATTGCAGGAGGCCATCAGGGATCACAGCTGACCAGGGCTGAGCCCTTCCTGCTGGAAGATGGATTAATCCCTTATTTGATATTCCATAGCAGACAGCATCAAACACTGAGCTCTGCTGCCCAGATGGGAAACAGTAGACTTAATTTACCCTGGTACAGAAGAAGGAGATAGGCTGGCATCAGAATATGACCTTTCTAGTCTTGCTTCTCAAGGTGATAGCTTGTGTTTAGGCAGCAGATGATGTAAACCGTCACATTATTTTCTAGTAAGTAATATGCTTCAAGCAGCACTGAGATGTGACAGCTATAGTTGTTGACTGACGTCTTCAGGCAGCCTTTGAGATATGGCCTCCTTGTAAATGTTTCTTTGAAGAAGCACATCTTCAGGAGGCTTTAACTCTCTTTTCTCAGATAATTCATAAATCTGCCTTGAAGTGTTCATTATCCTGAAAGGAGACTTCTGGTTTGTAGTTGTGGAGTGTAGCATTCATTCTTGTACACTGGATTAGTGTTTGTCACTGAGCCATTGCAGTCAGATCATATCCATTTCTATTTATCCTGCAGTGATGTCTCCTGACAGTTTGATGTGAAAAATTCTCTCTTTGTAGTGTTCATAAACCTTTGAAGATTTAGTCCTGCTTTATTTGTCTTAGTCCAAGAGCATTACTTTTCAACAGAAACTGTGAACAGACCCATAAATATATTTGTTAATTGAAATCACTGAGTCTAAACAAATGTAGGTTAAGCTTTGACTTTATCTATAATGCAACCAGTGATACAACTGCCTTATCATCTGGGCATACCTGTGTGAGTTAACAGCTTAAACAGCTCTGGTGAAGGTAAAGTAACCAAAGCAGCATGGACACATCAGTTTGATGCTTCTTGGGCCGTTTGCACCAGGCTCTATGGATGGCCAATACTGATTGTTTAAAGCTAGCTTTGATAAACATCCAATGGTGTCAATAGCCAAACGTGTAAGAGAGGTTGGTCAAAAAATATGCCTGTCCTTGCTTGTGAACTACAAGTTTAACTACTCTTTGTCAGAAGCAGTGGGTGGCATTACCAGTGCCAGGGATGGTTCTCCAGCATCCTGTGGGAATACTGTAACTGCTGAGCTCCATGGCAAAAGTGGTGAAAAGTCACCTATTACAACCACTTCTCTGGGCAGGCTTACAAAACATCTACTATGCAAGGCCGTGCAAGCAAAATAGAGAAAAGAGCATCTAGTTTGTGCATTCACATTTTATGCCAAATTGCTAAATAAATTTTATATATCTCCAAGGTTTAATGTCACCTGAACAAATGTGTTGGTGATTTCAACTTTGCGTGGGGGTGCCAGCAGAAGTGATCAAAATATGACTGAAACAAGGGCATTAAATCAGCTGTCATAGCCTTTCAGCAGGCAAATTGTATTCTAACGAGCATAGACAGGTAAAAGTCATTCAAAGTTTCCTTTTTCCATCATGTTGGTTATAGAGTCTAGCTTTCCTTGAAGGGTGTTCCAGGTGCTTGTATTACTGTTTTAATTTTGGCTATCTCAATTTTTATTCTTAAATTTCTGAAGACTGTCCCCTGCTCAGATCTCTGGCAATTTGTTTCACAGTCTGTGGTGGCCTCTCATAAAAGTTTGGTGGTGTTCATACCGTCTGCACCTCATTCTCTTTTCTGTTTCTGAAGCTTTGTCTACCCATTAAAACGAAGACCATCATGGTGTAAGGACTGATCTTTTGTCCTTAACCGCTCACTGCCTGGTTGCAGAGAACTCTGGAAGTATAGACTTTCCTATTTTTCAGTGGTAAATAGATTTCCACTAAAATCTATTTTCGGGGACCATGGCATTTTCTATTTTTATTTATGTAATCTAACAATTTGAAATATAAGAGTAGCCTAGCACTTACTTCAGATGACACACTTTTAAAAAGTAGGGTGCAGTTGAGATAAGTTAATGGGAAGTTGTATCTGAGATTTCTCAGCCTTGTCTCCCATGGAGTGGATTAGTGTCTTTTGTTCCCATCTTTTCTTTATTATAGCTGTAAAGTTTCTAATGTAACTTATTGCAGGGACCCAGTAAAATAAAGCCACCATAGTATTAAAGGAGGTAATGATGCCAGGCAAAATAGTGAGTACAGTAACTATGATATATGGCAACAAAAATTGCAGTAAAGCCTATTTTTTACTTAAGTTGGTCCTTTGTCAGAGGTATATTGCATGTATGCAGGGTAGTTAACTTGGTTTATCTTTTGTGAAACTTGATAAAGTAGTTATTTCTCAGGGTTATTTCTGATCTGATTCTTCCTTGATTTTCAGAGAACTTGGGCTTGTGCTCCTGGGTTTTACACACCTGGGCTTCCTGTAGGTGCTCTGCTCAGGCCAGCTGTCTGTGCCAGCCCATCAAATGTTTAAAATTGCTTTTATTCAAATGTGGTAACTGTAGGAATATCTGTTAGAAATCATCCATTGCAAGGCCAAGTGCAAGTTGTCTTTGAGAATTGTTAATATGCTATATAGGGACCTCATTAGTTGTGAAGTAGCCCTTGGCAGTCTATCAGCTGCTATGAATCAGATTTTCTTTTGCTGACACTTGTCTGAGTGTTTTCCTGGTTCTGAATCTGTTTAATACTTGGATCTTCCCATATAGTCTTTCATCAGCATTCCACACAAGAAGTTTAAAGGAATTCCTCCAGCACTATCTAGTCCTTCCTTAGCTTTAATTGCTTTTATTTGAGGTCCTGGGGCTTGTGCATATGCCTTTGAGGTATTCTCCTGCATATTTTCTTTGACTTTGGAAGACAGAAAATCAAGGGCTTTTTAATTAATACAGATCCTGTTCTGACCTCTCATTTCCTGTTGTAGGTGTCCTTATTATAGAATCATAGAATAGTTTGGGTTGGAAGGGACCTTCAAAGGTCATATTATTTCTGATAATGTCTTTTGTCTGTTTTCCAATTCTTTAATATTTCTCCAGGAAGGTGTGGAGTGTAGACAGCGCAGGTAATTTCATCCAGTGCTGCATTTGTGACATCTCCAGCACTTGGTATGCTACCATAACAGTCCCTGTGGTTTTAAATTTCATCTAGTGCTATATCAGCCCTGTCTCCTTTGCTGTTTCCTCCTGAGTGGGTGGTTTCAGATTTCTGTGTATTATTGCCACGGTTTGTTTCTTTGATCAGTGCCATTTCAGCTTCTGACTTTGAGATCCTAAAAGGGATGTTAGTTCATTTTTATACGGTCTAGTGATTTATTCCCTGTTTGACAGTGTTGAATAATCCTCCTAAAAGTCTGCTTTCTAAGCCATGTATGTTATCAGCTAAAATGAATGGAGGACTTTCTGTTTACATAATATCAAAATTAGTCAAAACTTTCAGCCACTTAGATTGCCTTGCAAAAGCTTCCCCTGCAATCTTTCTAACAAAACTGGCAATACACATGGCTGTTTGTTTGGTGTTTCTCTTTGCATTTATTTTTGCTGTTTAACACACAAACCGTTACACATGCATATGAATTTCATGGGGCAGATTCTCCTGGAAATGATGCTAGAGCACATGAAAAACAAGGAGGTGGTTGGTGGCAGCCAACATGGCTTCACTAAGGGCAAATCATACCTGACAATTTGGTGGCCTATCATGGAGCTACAGAACTGATGCATAGGGACAAAGCAGTTGATTATGTCTACCTGGATTTTTGCAAAGCATTTGACACTGTCCCACATGACATCCTTGTCTCTAAACTGGAAAGACATCAATTTGATGGATGAACTATTCGGTGGATAAAGAATTGGCTGAATGGCTACATGCAGAGGGTTGCAGTCAACAGCTCAGTGTCTAACTGAAGACCAGTAATGCATGGTGCCCCCCAGGGGTTGGTGTTGTGACCAGTCTTGTCCAACATCTTTGTGGCGACATGGACAGTGGAACTGAGACACCCTCAGCAAGTTTGCAGATGACACCAAGCTGTGTGGTTCGGTTGATACGCTGGAGGGAAGGAATGCCATCCAGAGGGACCTTGACATGCTTGAGAGGTGGCCAGTGCCAACCTCATGAAGTTCAAACAAGCCAAGTGCAAGGTCCTGCACCTAGGCTGGGGCAATCCCAGGCACAGCTACAGGCTGGGCAGAGAAGAGATTCAGAGCAGCCCTGTGAAGAAGGACTTGGGGGTTTTGGTCAATGAGAAACTTAATACGAGCCAGCTTCAGTGTGTGCTCGCAGCCCAGAAAGCCAACTGTATCCTGGACTGCATCAAAAGGAGTGTGACCAGCAGGTTGAAGGAGGTGATCCTTCCACCCTGTTCTGCTCTTCAACAGAAGAAGGATGTGGACGTGTTGGAACGAGTCCAGAGGAGGGCCAGAAAGATGATCCAAGGACTGGAGCACCTCTTCTATGGAGACAGGCTGAGAGAGTTGGGCTTGTTCAGCCTGGAGAAGAGAAGGTTCTGGAGAGACCTTATGGAAGCCTTCCAGTGCGTAAAGGGGTCTAACAGGAAATCTGGAGAGGGACTTTTTGTAAGGGCATGTAGTGTTAGGACAAGGGAGAATGATTAAACTGACAGAGGGGAGATTTAGGTTAGATATTAGGAATAAGTTCTTTACTGTGAGGGTGGTGAGACTCTGGAACAGCCTGCCCAGAGAAGCTGTGGCTGCCCCATCGTTGGAAGTGTTCAAGGCCAGGTTGGACGGGGCGTTGAGCAACCTGGTCTAGTGGAAGGTGTCCCTGCCCATGGCAGCATGGTTGGAACTAGATGATCTTTAAGGTCCCTTCCAACCCAAACCATTCTATGATTCTATAACTCTAGAATTCTACATTCTCTATATAATACAGTATCACTTTACTGGAAATTACCCTAGAAAGGGAAAGTAAAAGTGAGTATCTACTTCTCAGCACTTGGTACTGTATAATTACCAAAAATGAAAAATTAGGGGAACTCAAAGCTGACACTGTTTCATAACATTTGGTAGGTTCTGGATAAATACTTTTATGAGTAGAAATGCCAACAGAAACATCTTCTAATTAAGGGTTTTAGTGCAGTGAAGGCTCTCACCCACTCCAATCCTTTACTCTTAATGTCAGTATTCCATATTTTGCAAATGTGTCTTTCCACCCAGTGCAGCCTGTAAGAATCACTTTGTTTTTTTCATTTCTTGTAATGCATTAGCTTTCATTTCTGTTCCTGTCTCCTGGAATTAGGTGGAGTGGATTTCTCCTTTGTGCCATTGCAATGCTCCTTGTGATATTTCCCATGTTTACCTTTCCGAAAAAACTCCCTCCTCGCCACAAAAAAAGGAAAAAGAAAAAGAAGATGAACTCTGATGATGTTTCAAGTGATGATGAAGTGATGAAAGAGAAAACAAATAGTAAAATACAAACAGACAGTGCAGTTCCTGCCTCTATGGGATTTGGAAAAAATGTTAAAGGTGAAGTTTGTTTTTAATTTTTAAATACTTTACATTTTGTATACAAGGTTATCTAGAATTATATAAGTGTAATTGAAGGCAGAGTTAACGTTCTGTATTTAATAGCATGTTTTGCTATCGAGGTTTTAATAGATGGTCATCATCTAAAATTACAAATTGCAGTGATGAGTGTAAGACATCCATTTACTTAAATTATTGAAGTGTTTAGTGTGCATCTGTAACAAACAAGTAGCCTATTTCCTATAGATATAGGACCTCTATTATTAGACATATTTATGCACCTTACAGTTTGTAACTGTCATACTTCCTTTAAGTTGCCCTTCACAGAATAAAGTGAAACAAGTGAAAAGAACTCTAGTAATGAGTTCAATTGCATTCACATATTTGGGTAAGCTAATTAAGAAAGGTTATTTGTTTCATACAGCTTTCCTGGCTATTTTGCACTGCAAGCTATTTATTCGCAGAAGGCTATGACAAATAAAACCTGTGCAAATTTTGAAACATGAAAAGACTAAAAGACTGACAAGTAATAACGATTTTTATTTTACTCAAGTAAACCATTAATGTAAAATCTAACAGAAAGTATTAAAAATCAATAAAATACTGCAGGAGGAAGGGTATTATTGTTAAAAACTAATTACTGTGAGGCATATACATTTGGAGTTGACAATATAGGCTTAACAGTGTCATAATATTGAACAGCATAGGACAAGAATGAGCATGCCTTAATGCTGTTGTGTTGCCAATGCTGTTGTGTCCTCCCTGGATTCCATGATACAAATGCTGGTTGTGCCATTTTGTGGTACCCAGATAAATGCAATGGGACTAAGAAAAACCATGAAATGTCCTTTGTACCACTAGATGTAATTTAAACTCAAAACTTCAAGTGTTTCTTTGTTGACATGAACACTAGCCTATCTTTTTCATTGGGTATCAGTCCAGGATATAGTCATTGGTAGAATTTTTAATGATGCATTTATGATCAGTCTTTGAGTAGGCAAGGCTTAGTAAAACTAGTATGCTGGCTTTAGACTAAAGCCAGTGTAACTCTGAGTAATGTTCACCCACATGTATATTGATTTGCTCTACACTGCATTTATAGCTGCACTCACAAGGTACCTGAAGTTAGTGTTAATTTCTATGGAAGTAAATTAAAAACTGGAGACTAGAATTTTCTTATTTATTAGCTTATAGAACATCGTCTTAATCAAGGCACAGAGCAAACAAGGTAAACCTGCAATATTGGATCTTTCCATGTTCTCCCTTTAGCTACTTTGCAAAGTAGTGAAAAAAGTGGTGGAGAAGGAAGAGCGTGTTGTCTACTTCCTTCTTTAAGACTCTTTATTCCCTTATTTTTGACTCCCTGTACATGATGTTTTCTCCTAAATACATACAGCTAGTTGTGGGTTTGGTCTTTTTTTAACTTCAAACCTACTGGCCTCTGATTAGCAGAAGTAGTTCAGGGCTACTCTGTTGAGGTTTTCTCACTAGCCTGGGGAAGTGAGAAGGGGAGTTCAGTCTTTGCTGGGCTCCTTCCTAATCATTGCAGGTGAAGTCATAGCAGAGGGGCTGCTTCATCCTGTAGGTATACCTGGAAAACATACAGGTATTCTGCATCTGAATGAGTTTCCTGGTGCTAGTTCTCTGTTTCTGTACATAATTTCACCTTCCAGGTTGTGTTGTGTCACTACAGGCACAATAGATACACAGAAAACAAGTATTCTCTTAGGAGAAAGTTTTCCAGTACTTTTTTTTTTTTCACAGAAATTAAAACTTCTGTATATCTAATTTTAGATGTTTCTTTGATATGTAATTGCCTAAATGTGTACCGTACCTTCTACAAAATCCTATACTAATATATTAAAGGAGCTACCAAATTAGTGCTTTTCATACATGAAACTTTCATTTTCTCTAGAGGAAACACTTTACCAGTGAAGCAGCCTTGTATTCCACATGTCAGAAAGATATTAAACGAGTTGAGATAATGCAGACAAAAGTATTTTGCTATAAGCTGATAACAGCTTTCCCATTAGGTGTCATTTAGCCTAGCAAATGGGGCCTGCAGCAGGAATGCGCTATCATTTAATTATTTTTCAAGTTTAAGCGGGCTTTTTGGCATGAGATCATGCCTCAGGCTTCTCAGTTGAGGTAAATTTCATTTATAATGGGAAGGAAAAAAGGATTGCATGTGTCTTAAGTCATTTAGCATTGCTTATTCTGAGATGAATGTACATTTTATACTTCCCATTGAATTTCAGGGCTTCATCTTTTTATAGCACGAAGGACAGAAATTTCACTTAGGCAGTAGCCAGGAGACTGATGATTTAGTAGGTCATGTCTTCTGTTCGGTATTAATAAGTATCAGTGATGTTGCAATCTGTCATGACAGAGGTCAGTGCCATCCCTGAAAATCCATGCAGCTTTGGTAAGGGAAGTCCCAGGGAAGAAACTGTTTTGATCTTCTGATATGGTGTTACCTGGGAAGCCTGGCAGAATGATTCATGGCCTGCTGTCACTTGCCCTAATTTCACATGGGTTAGTTCTCAAGATGAATGAAAAAGAATCAAAAAAGTATGACAGGAGAGGGATGGGGTCCTTTTTCCTGCAATGGATGCCAGTACAGGCTGAAGAAATAAACCAAAATTGGTTCCATTCTGCAAGTAGCCTTCAGCTTGTGGCCTGAGCTTTATTTTGGCCCACAGTAGATCTGAGATCAGTTAAAAATACAGATACATCTTTGCTTTTTCTTATGTTTTGAGATGGAGGGTTTGGAATCCAGTCTTTTCTTACCTATGTTGCAAGTAAAAAATGTGAGAAGGAGAATGCTTCTGAGACATATATCAAATGAATTAAATAAAACATTAAATAGGTCACAGGAGGAAGAAAACTTGATGTAGTTTAGTGGGAGAAATCATAGAATCATAGAATCGTTAGGGTTGGAAAGGACCTTAAGATCATCTAGTTCCAACCCCCCTGCCGTGGGCAGGGACACCTAACGCTAAATCATATCACCCAAGGCCTCGTCCAACCTGGCCTTGAACACTGCCAGGGATGGAGCATTCACAACCTCCCTGGGCAACCTATTCCAGTGCCTCACCACCCTAACAGGAAAGAATTTCCTTCTTATATCCAACCTAAACTTCCCCTGTTTAAGTTTTAACCCATTACCCCTTGTCCTGTCACTACAGTCTCTAATGAAGAGTCCCTCTCCAGCATCCCTATAGGGACTCTAATAAAAATAAAGAAATAAAGGCAGCTAAAGAAGATTTCTAATGAAGAAGCCATGGTTCAGTCCCATGCATGCAGATAAATCATGAACCTGAGCAGACAAAACCGCTGTTTTCATTTATTATATCAATCCCCTTAGGGTTTTGTCCGTGGAAACTGTATCTGCAGTCCTTTTTGCTTACCTCTGTATTGAAATTTAGTGCGCAACAGATAAAGGAGCAGTGTAAAGAAAGCATATGTATACGCTACCTAAAATATACTCATATAATCTGAAGGGTATTGAGTATTTTGTAGTCTGTGGGTTGTTTGTTTGTTTTATATATATATATATACATGCATATATTGAGTTTTGTCCTTATATACAGCCCTTACTTAAACATGGAATATGAAATATGTCTGTCTTTCCATGTCTACCAGCTGTCACATGCGCTTCCCACTGAGTCCATGGCAGGGACAGAGACAGGTTAATAACACTTGTCAGGGCATCAGCAAAGGTAAAAGAAACTCCTGAAAGGCTGGTGGCTGTAGGGTAAGCCCACTGCAGTGCTTCCCCAAGGATCTGGATTGGAGTTTCTGCAGTATCTGGAGACTAGTTGAGTCAGAAAAGGAGGAGACGACAGTGGTCTGTGTGTGGGGCTCTTGGTGAGCACTTAAAATGTCAGGAAGTTCAGCAGTCTGTGGGGTGGAGATCCTGCTTTGACCCTGACCTTGAGCAAGTTGCTCCCCCCTTACCCTTTCTTAGGCTGTCTTGAAGAGCTCAAAATAGAAAAGGCCGGCATGACTCCATGCAGCGATGAGCAGCATTAGTTAGAGCCTTGAGAAACTGCTCTAAATCAAGTTAACAAAAGTAACAATCAGATCAAACTTGCTCTGAAACTCCCTACTTTTGAGGGGATATTAGGGGCTGTTCAGCGATTTGGCCACCATCCAGGTACTTAAGGCGTGTCCTGAAAACACTTGAGGAATCAAGCTGAATGCAGTTGTTTAAATGGTATGTTTGTAGGTAATGAAATTAAATACATGGGAAAATATTATTTTAGAATTCAGTGATTAGCCCCATGAAGGATCTGTTTGAAGTAGTTGTGTGTGACTAAAAAATGCTCATATCCATTCTGATAAACAAACCTGTTTCAAATCTTGGCTCTGCTTTGTACTCCAAAAGAGTGGAAGCTAGCCCTGAGACCTTGGTGCGGAGGCAGCCTTCTTCAAAGGCTGCAGACATGGATAGTATTGTCCAGGCTTGGAGCGCCAACAGAAAGGAGGCCCTTTAGCTAATACCTGTGTTACCCATACAAGGAGCTTTGATGATGGACAACAAGAGGACAGTGCTGTAGACTGGGATGGTTTAGTCCTTTGGTTGTATTCATTGCATCACCTTGGCCTAGATGCACAAGAACAGGGATAAAAGAAAATATATAAAATGATGAAAAAAGGTGAAGTCAGAATTATTTCATTTTTTATTGGAATTCTGTTTATAGTGCTTCAAAAGTTTTGTTTAGAGCAGTATTTATGAATATTTCTATTGCTTGCAGATTTTTCTTATGCTTTTCCGTTACCATGAATCAAGCAGTGGTCCAACACATGAATGAAAGAAAATGTATTCTGACGAGAAAAAGAATATTGTCAAAGACCCTGAAAGGAAGAAAATTCCTGGTAGACTGGCAAACTAGTCCATCAAGGCAGTTTTAATATACTCTTAGTTACATGGTAAGGAAAGGAAAGGAAAGGAAAGGAAAGGAAAGGAAAGGAAAGGAAAGGAAAGGAAAGGAAAGGAAAGGAAAGGAAAGGAAAGGAAAGGAAAGGAAAGGAAAGGAAAGGAAAGGAAAGGAAAGGAAAGGAAAGGAAAGGAAAGGAAAGGAAAGGAAAGGAAAGGAAAAGGGAAAGGAAAGGATTTTTAAAAGCTGGAATAACTACGCAGAAGTGTAAACATGTTTACAGGTGTACTAAATGATCATTTCAGTTTTAGGAATGTAGTTGATAGAGATTTGTTTGTTCAAATGACAGAATGAGAGAAACTGCAAGTTCTTGTTGGTTTGTTTCTGGTGCACACTTGCAAAAAAAAAAAAAAAAGAGGTGTTTTTTTTTTTCAAAAACCTAAAAATCAGAACCTGACAGGTTTAACAGTGGCCTTGAAATCAAAACCTAGCCCTATGTCTAGTCACACAAAGGTAATATGACATTGGAATGTTTTAAATCCATGATTGATTATGTAGTACAAAGGATCCTTGAAGTTTTTAGTGTTCTTGTTTTTCACTAGAATTAGTGTGGTTGAAAGATATGAGACAATTATAACGCCTTTTTATTACAGGTTTCTGAATTCAGAAGTGTAATACAGATTTTGTCACACAGGATTTGAACTGTAATCATAGGAGGAAAGCAGGGAAAACCTAATTCTGAATAATTATTTTTTATTGGAGAATTTCTTACCATATAGCATCTTTTCCATGTATGCCAGACAGTTTCTGTGTATAAATCACAAAGAGCTTCAAGTCTCAACTGCTTCAGGTGGTGTCTGTTAGTGCAGCATACACAAATAAGCTGTTTCATTTCATACCAAAAATGATAGTAATCAGCAGAGCTGTTCACTGAAGAATCCTTCACATGGGTGTAAGAGAACTTGTGCTTATTCTAAGACACTGAAGTTTTATCTATTTATCAGTAGAAATCCAATTTCAAAATTCTAATTAGTTTTGAAATTAATAATGACCTTTAGACTGAGTGCTCAGATAAGATGCAAGTAGGAGTCAACAGAAGGTACAGCTCTACATCCAAACATCAGAGCAAAATGTTTGTTAACTCTGCAGTTTATTCCCTTATTAGTTCTTCAGTATCTTTAGATCAAAAATACTAAACCAGACATTTTCCTGAAGCTCACTTTTACCAGGAAGAGCTAAACTTTACCAGGTATTATGATATTTATGCCATGCCCTGTGAAGTAATGGATTTAGCAAAGATCTTTAATTTACCCCCTGGCCAGGGACTTCCAGTTCATTTCTACAAAGAGCACTTAGTTCATCGTACTAGTGAAATTATAGTTCTCTTTCTAATATCCAGTCTTCTGAGAGTTACTATCTTATTAATTTTCTTCTACATGTTTTTAGCACTGGTGAGCAGCTGCCACCAAATAGCTCAGTTTCAATCCTGGCATTCCCTCTTTCTGCTTCCTGACTCCTGTCTTGCAGCAGCAGCAGCGGTATGGTCATAAGTTCTTGCTTCTGCTACAGGGGGCGAAGCACTCAATCCTGCACCTTGTCCCTGTGGAAATCCTGCTACAGCTGCCCTGCTGCAGCCCTGTGGCAGCCGTTTTAAACTTCATCATGTAGCCCCATGAGAGGCTTTGCAAAAGCTGGGTTAGAGCATCTTGGCTGTTACCCTTAGATTTCTTTTTCCATCTAAGTCCCCATCAGCTAACCCAACCCAACCCCAAAACAGACACAAAGCTGAAGCTGGTGAGATTTGAGGGCTGACATCTGATGGTATTTTAGATCTTTTTTTTTTCTCTCTCTCTTTCATTTCCTTTTGAACAATGAGATAAATTTTGTGCACCTGTATTTTAAGCATGCATCACATTTACGAACAATTACTGATGCTATTTTATCTAAACTTGCCACTGTAATGTAGTTTCTGAAGGTACACAGTTGTGTTACAGTTTCCATATATTCACATTGACTATACTGTCTCATTCTCCTGTTATCTTGTTTCTTTCTGTTTTTCTACTGCAAGCAGACACATATATTTGTAAAAAAAACTGTAGGTGGTAAAAACCATTAAGATTATAATATATGAATGCTTCTTAATGATTTATTCATTACTTATTTCCAAGTTTTGTATTTAACATTTAATACATTTCTTCATAGGGAGCAGTAAGGGAGCATTTGACTACATTAAAATTATAAACCCCGTACTCATAATGAACTCTATATAAATTTTGACAAGTGGCATAAGCTAAGACTGAATGCAGTAAGACAACTTACATGCTAATTTGCAGCCTGACAAGTTTTGACATGACAGGAGTCTAAATTCTGTTTGCTTTAATATATATAACCTACTGGAATCAATGTAGAAAGGAAGACAGATTTTTGACTTGACAACTTTTAACATCATTGAAATTCTCAATCCAGAGCTCTTACTCAGCGTGCTACATTTCTAATGGGTGCTGTTGTCATTGAATTCAATGTGCTTTGATTCAAGCAGCATTCATTTTTTTGTACAAAGTGAAAAGCAAATAAAAAACCCCAAACCATAGTAGGTTAGATATAACATTTGAAGAGAAGGTCTGATCTTGGTATAAGCTCAAGGAAAAAGAAGAAAGTTTAAAATCACACTGTCTAATCTGAAAAAGTTGTCTTGAATAGAGATACCATCTTGTGATGATAATTTGACATCACTACAAGACTCACTTAGAATTATTTAGGAGTTTCTTTTAACTACAGTGCTGAATTTCATGGGGTTTTGATATTCAATTTGAGAATTATTGCAACATCTGTGAATACTTCTTCAATTTAAGTTAATGATGTATTCTCATTTTTAATTGTTTCACCCCTTCTGAGAATATTAAACGAGTTGTATGTAAACTATGTTGAGATTCAGTGATATCACTGACATAATTTTTCAGTATATACTTTGCATTTACAGTAGATACTTCTAAATTGTATAGAAAAATATTTAATTAAAAATCTTTTTGTTCTTTTTTAAAAATTTTGATATTATTATCTCAGTTTTCAAGCATGGTCCTTGAAGCAGAGTTACAGGGGGGGAGTATGTGATCTGTTTTCCTCCTGTGGAGTGCAGAACTGAGTGCTGTTGGTTCACAAGTGTGACATGTTATAGAGAATTTCAAAGTGAGACATCGGAATACCTCAAAAATTGCTACATTTTATTGCTGTTTTGTTTTGTTTTTTTTTCTTTTAGACTGCTACTATGTAGACCCTGTTTCTTCAGATTATTTTGTTAAAACAGACCTCAGTTGCATGTGTGAAAAGTAGGACTGCAGCCCTGGGGCGATGCAGTGAGATAGGGTACGAGCAGACAGTGAAGACTGCAATCCCAAATATGCAGTCTTCCTTCCGCTTAGCAGATGTAGCCAGATGCTAGCAAGCCATTCTTGCCAGTCCATCTCAGAGAAAATGAAGTTGGTTTCAGTTTACTTTTGTTTCTAGTTCATTATTGATAACATTTGTTTGTAATTTTTGTCATTTTATAGAACTTCCAAGAGCAGCTGTCAGGATCTTAAGCAACATGACATTCCTTTTTGTGAGTTTGTCATACACAGCTGAGAGTGCCATTGTCACAGCTTTTATTACCTTCATTCCCAAGTTCATCGAGTCACAGTTTGGCATCCCAGCTTCCAATGCCAGCATCTACACTGGTAAGGAATTGCCACATAGTATAACCTTGCAAGGGCTGGTTTTCTTCAACTAATGAAATGAATCAATGTAGAAATGAACCAAAAATGTGCTTGGTGGAACAGGAGATTGGATACAGCTTTGTGTATTCTGTAGATATTCAGGCAATTTTTTGATGTTTGTTATATGTGTTTAGTAAAATGTGAACCCATTTATATTGTTACAGGGCTGGGGGCTTTTACATAAGCCTAGACAGACATTTTATAATACACTAATGGTCTTCAAGGAGGGGTAAAAACAATAAAAACAGGCTAGAGACCCAATAGGCGTTACTGCAATTTGTGATTTTTGAAGATTTTTGAAGGCTGTTCTTATTTTCTGTGAATTTTACTTCCTCTTTGATCTTTAAAATGCCCTAATCTTTTTTTCTTCCCCAGTGACGAGTTAAGATTTATCTGTCCCATACTTCAGTTATCTCTCCCCTCCAGACTGGTGGTTTTCTCCTTATTTACTTTTTCACACTGAGTGCGTAACAATCCAGTCTAGCCCAGAGAGCTCCCCAGATCCTTTCCCACCTGTGTTTCTAGGTCTGAGACCCCTGTTCTGCAGGTGTGGTTCTTTCCCTGCTGTTGCAGCAGCAATGTACAGCCAAGCACAACTTCTAACAGAGCTATAAAGTACTACATTTTAAGCTTTATATTGCTCTGCGGGACGGCAAGGTGTGAACTTCCCTAGGGAAAGGGGCCGAAATATTGTGCAGAATTGGGGCCTGTGTCATGCAGACTATCTTCCCTCTCTCCTAGGGGCATCAAAGACGCTTATCTTTGTAAGCATCTTTTTGACTTCTCCATAGTACTTCCCATACAGAATAGCTGCTAATTGCAAAGCATGTTAGTTCTTTGCTCCCCCATGTTTCCAGATCTTCTGTGTGAGAAGGAGTGATGGAGTGGAGAGTGAGTTGTGGGAACAGGGGTGAAGTATGGGGTGAAGCTGCCCAGGGACTCAGTCAAGGAAAAGACAAAAAGTAGCAGAAGAAAGAGAGAAGACACACAGACCGCATGCAGGAATCATGTATCAGCTGCAGTGGCTGGAAGAAATATGAGTCTCTCTAGACTGCAGAGGGGAAACATCAGAAAAGCACCATATAGTTACTTCTGTTTGAGAGCTTGTTGAGATGAGATTTTCTTCAGGGCATGAAATCCCTGTGTACTGCATAAAGGGAGGAAACATTGATTGATGGGAACCTGATTCTATCAGAAGTTTAGGGTAGCTACACATGTGCTGTAATGAGTCTTGATGGGTTTGATACTCTGTAAGTTGCTTTGTTCTCAGGATAAATCAAAAACATTGCTAGACAAGATATTCAACAGCTAGTACATTAAAAGAGAAAAAAGTGATGTGACCCTGTCCAGAGTGTGAAGCTATGTTGTTTTCCCTATTATAAATTGCTTGATAAAGACTATTATAATGAACCAGAAGCAGAAGATGGAATAGCTTAGGCTGGATGTGCAACACAGACAAGTGAGCGCTGCTTCCAGAACCCCAACTCCTAAACTTAGCATTAAAATCAACAGTTGTTACTAGTTTTATAAATTCTTTTTGTAGCTACTGGCTAATTAGTTAAAGACATGTCCAGTTTACAGACTTCTGGCTAATAAAAGGAGGACTTAACATGTTATTTATATTACTACATCTACACTTGTATGTGCATTGCCAGCTGAGTACATGTGTTTGCTGAATCCCTTCATGTGAGTAATGTGAAGTTATTACTGGTAATTTTCTACCTCAATTCATAACCAACAATTCTTTCATTAAGTCTCAATTTCTTTCCATTTTTTAAACAAACCTAGCATTAATCATCAGCAAAAATACCATGTGCCAAACTTTATGTCTTGAACTTGTGCAGCTTGTGCTTCAGTCTTGTCTTGCTTGGAGTTTTGTTTATTGTGTGTAGAGAAGATGGCATTTAGCCTCCAGGCTTTAAGTCCAAGAAAAAACCACAAAGAACTCTGACTTTATAGAGTACAGGTAGATCTTAGACAAATCCAGGTTAAAATTTCAGGTGCTTTGTTAACATATTTACATTTGAAAGAGAGAGTTACAATTCAAATAATTTGTAATTGGATGAACTGTGCACTATATGTCATAAAACACTGTTCTGGTAACATCTGCTAAAATGGTTACAAATGCATTGGATCTATCTTTAGCTTTAGAAAAGGTATAATATATATCTCAGTCAGAATTAGTTTGAAAATGTCCATTTTATTCCCTTTGGAAGTGTAGCCTGCTTAGCAGATACTGCAGTTTTCTGTTGCCAGACTATTAGTGGCTGTTAAGATCATCTCTTGCTGCTGTGGCAAGCCTCAAGTGCTGCAGTATCCTGACAGCAGCAAAAAGGACAAAGCTTGAAAATTGCTGACTGAAAGCTGATATTGCCTTGGAGCACTGTATCCAGGAGTGTATTTAGCACACGCACGATTCCTATAAGCCAAGCTGTCATTATAAAATGAAGGAGAGTGCAGTGCAACAGCTTAGTATTGAATCTTAAGCTTTATTCCTCTAAATGCCTTTGAAAAAGAAGAATGTGTCTCCTGATTAGATGTACATGCTTTGCTTTGCCCTGGAAAGTCGCCCGGAAGAGCTGCATTCCTTTGACAGTACATCACTTCTGATTTCACATTCTCTGTGGAAAGAGAGGGGCATAAGGATGAAGAGTTTGTACTTAGGGCAAAAGAACCTGTCAGGCTTCCTGACAGGAAGGGAATGAGTGCCTCTTTCTATGGCCTTCACCACAAACAGCAAAATCTCTTCTTGCCCTTCTAGTTTCTCCCAGAGAGAGAGCTCCATCACCAGCTCTACTTTGCATGGAGAATTGGTCTTTATACATCTTGTGTGTAGGCTTTCATCCAGCCTTTCCATCTTTCTGAATGGGAGCGAGCCTTGATGGGCAATTTGCTTGTGTTCTTGTGTTTAATGTTCTGATCTTCATGGTGTGTCAGAAGATGGATGAAAACAGCAGCACAGGGTAACTCACTAATGGAAGAACCACTAACCTAATGCCTAGCAAAATATTGACATGCTCAGTTTTTACAAGGTACTAGACGCAGACACACAGAGTCTCAGTTCTAGTGCAAGGCTTTTCCAATATCCATGCTTTCAAGAGAATAAGAAAGAAAAGGTAAATTCAGGTCCAAAAGAGGTTGAGCACTCAAGCCTAAGCTCTAAGGTGGAAGGAAGAATAAAATACTGAGGTTAATTTATTGTCAATAAGCTCTTACCTTGGGCTAGATCCTTAGTTCATATAACTGATATAGCCATGGATTAGGTCCATGGAATTTGATTCAACTAACAGAGGTGTTTTAGAAGACATTGCAAGGGATCCTGATCTGCCTTTGGTATGGATGTCAGCTTCTCTGACACAGATTTCATAGAGCAGGGCGTGCCTAGTAGACTCAGATGGCTGAGTTACAATTTTTACCCAGAGAGAACATTCTCAGTGCAAGTAAAAGGATTTGCATTATTTCTCTTCCTTGTTCATATTCAGTCATTGAATGTGACAGATATAAAGGCTCAAGAGAGATAACAGCTTTGAACTTTGTGAAAATCATTTAGTTCTCCTAGGAGGACTTAAGCATCTAATTTCTGCTCTATGAGAAAGACTGGTTTTGATTCTGTGGTGGGTTATTATTAAAAATCTTCCTCATGAAATGACATTTTATTTTATAATGCCATTGGTGATGGCAGTATAATTAAAGCAGCAAGTATTTTTACCTTTTATTTGTATTTTCATGATCTCAGCATTTTGATAAAAATAATGTCCCCCTCAACTTTAGAGAAATTGTCAGAGAATGAGAATACTTTGCAATAGTATTAAGGATACTTGCAAATTATAGTCCTGCTGGCTTCTTTAAAAAGAAGATCAACATCTTTAAGAGTTTGGATTATAAAGTATAGCTCCTTCCAAGTAGATGAAGCTGCCAAAAGTTGTTGAAATTCCATATTTATGGGGAATGCATCTTTGTTAGCAAAAACCTAATTTAAAGACCTTTTTACATGTCAGTGAAAAGCAAAAGCCAAGATAAGTGAAGATGTGCAAGACATTCTCAGATTTAATGCCTCCTTAGGCCCTGACAAATGAGGACGGACTGGTGATGTGTTGCTGAACTGCTACAACTACAGCAGCAGAGCAAGAGGAATTTCATGGCCCATCTTTTGTGTCTTAAACTTACCCAAATACTAATTCTAGTATCTTAATTTCTCTAATTGTGTTTGATCAATTTATATTCCATGTGGCTGTGCCAAGATGAATGAGGGTGCTGACACAGGAAAGCTTAAGTTAAGTATTTAGAAGGCAGAATTAGCAGCCTGGCTCATATGTGCACTCCCAGGTGGGCAGACTTCTGGGGTCTGGCCTGAGGTTAGCACTTGTGATTCACTGGCATTAATTGTGAGAGTAGGGAGAAGAAGATTCATGTCCAAATCTGGATTTCTTCAAATTTTCAGTACTTAAACTGAGGCAATATGTAGCCCTTCTCCCCATTCTAAAATAAATACAAAGCAATGTTTCTGCTTGTCAGTACAATAGTTCTCTTATTGTGCTTTGGCTGCTGGTAATATCATAAGGAGGCTTTTATTAATTCTTTGACAACACTCCAGAGGTTTGAAAAGTCTGACTCAGTTTGCTAACAGAGAATTAGACAATGGAGATCTTAGTACAGCATTTGCAGTCATCTAATTAGGGAATGAAACCAATTTTTATGTTTTATACCATTTCTATAGGTCCCGTTTTAATGTTGCTTGAATTTCTTCCTGGCAGGTGTGATTATTGTTCCAAGTGCTGGTGTTGGTATTGTCCTTGGTGGCTACATTATAAAAAAACTGAAACTTGGTGCGAGAGAGTCTGCAAAGTTGGCTATGATCTGCAGTGGTGTATCTCTGCTGTGCTTTTCAACTCTCTTCATTGTTGGATGTGAAAGCATTAATCTAGGGGGAATAAATATACCTTACACTACTGGGTAAGTATCTTGGAATCATCTGTGGCAAACCCATGATTTTCCAATAAAGAAAATGGTAAAGAAATATAAAAAATTTGGATGGCTGATATACTGAAGAAGCCACATTGTTCAAATGAGAATTTGGTGAGTATCGTGATATAAACACACACTGTTATTTTATTTTTACATCTGGTTTATAGTGAAGGTTATATAATGAAGGTTATGTAATGCCTCACCTTTTTGTGGGGTGGGAAAATGCATCAGAATGGGCTTCAGTGACTTTTGCAGGAAAGAAGCAATAGTGTCCCATAGAAGTGCTCAGACTTTAGCTGGTGTTTCAAAATGTTTTCTGACCATGAAAATTGTGAAAATACTAAAGGGATTATAAAGATTATTTCTGAATAGGTTTGTTTATTATCATCATAATAGCGTCTTAGGTCTACACTCCCTGTTTGAGAGGAAACACTTGGGCATGTGCTATCAATGTTAGTGGTGTGAACTGCTTCTGAACCACTTACTAGTTGTATGAATGCCCTCAACACTTGCTGGGTCATCATCAAGACAGCAACTAAATCAGAACCCTTAAAGTTATATTGAGAAGGAGAAAAGCTATAATGAAAAAAAAGTTATGGAGGGAGGAAGGCATTTGGAGTGAGGGATTTAAACTGAGACATTAAGAAATGCATAGAAGGGCATTTAAAAAAAGTAGGGGATATTTGGAAGGAAGACAGTGTGATAGAAGTTGTAAGAAGGTGTTCTGCTGGAAGGTATTTCCTCAGAAGCCTGACCATGATCTTTAATTTTCTTGCTTATTTTGTTCATTACCTTCTCCCCCAAACTGCTGCCTTCATGTAGCTTAAACACTAGAACAGAGTAAGCATTTGAAGAGCACTAACTTACCTGAAGCAATTTATCCCTTTTCTTTTAGATCTGAGACAACATCCTCCTTTTATTTATGGCCAGGTGCCAGGTATAAGATCCATGTGAATATGTTGCTTTTAAAGGCCAGCTCTGGACACAACTAACATTTTGAGGTTTGGAAGAGAATGTAGAAGTGTGAAGCAGGAAAAGATAAGATCAAATGGGAAAAAGAAGAACTGCAGTGGGGCACTGAGTAAGCCAAGTGAAAAACAAAGAGACAAAATGGGAAGCAAGAGCAGAAGAAAATAGGCATTGTTTACACAGAGAATATTTCGCATTGCGTGTTGCTGGGTGTTATTACATTGCTGTCAAACCTTTATCCTAGGACAAGGGAAAACAACTGAAAGTCATGACCTGATGGAAAGCTGGTTTATTCCTTTGCATTCTTAATAACCTAGAGTTAAAGCCTGGTGCTGAGAGGCTGATTGTAGAGGGGAATAGCATGGTGATATATTCTTGCTTGAGCATAGTGGGCTGAAGAAGGGGAGAATGAGGATGAGAAGGAGTTGGAATGTATGATTGTCCACCTGCTATGATGTTGGTGGCAGCCTGTGGGTGGAGATGAAGAAATGAAAATTATGAGGAATTAAAACATAGTTTCAGATCGCAGTTGACTGAACTGTGTGGTAAGTCAGAATGTCCCTGCCTGGCTAATAAGGCTGTAGTCTTCTGTTTGTGAAAAAGTGCTATGTAATTTAAATCTATTTCTAAATTGAAGACAAGGCAAACTATTGCTATGTAACACATACCCTTCACACTGGAACTGTAAGAGTATCAATTTTTGTTTTTCCAGTAGGTAATAACGTTTACAGTAAATACATAGCATGAATTGAAATAGGCACTTAATTCACAGCTGTTCTGAAATTCTGCAGCAGCATTACTTTACCACCTTCATCTAATTGTTCTTAGAGAGAAAAGGGGCGAGACATGATAATGGCAAAATTCTCAAAGGTGTTGAGGTATATCAATTCTTTCAAATCAGTATGCAGAGTGTAATATCATCAGAAATACCAGGATGTTATATAGCAAGGTTCAGGAGTTTGCAGCCCCAGCTCTATAGGATTTTTTTAATGCAGGATCAAATCCAAATTTATTATCAAAATGATAATAAAGAAGTAACACTACACATAAATTCAGCCTGAATATCTGACAAGATAAACATTCTGTAAATCTTCATGATCAAAATCATTTGATAGCTTCCAGTCATTTACTTGGTAGGCTCTTGAACTCAGACATCAAAGAATGGTATTGTTCACGTAACAAAAAAGCATGCTTTCATTTTGAGGTTTAATAAAACACGTTCTTCATTCTCAAGTTCCAATGAAGTGCAGTGTATGGACATGAGAGCCAGTTCAACAGGCTAGATTGAATAGGAGAAGCAGTACAGCTCTTGGTTCAGAGAAATGCCTTGCATGATGCTCTACCTTAACATGGCTTTGCCAGTCTGATCTGAACTACCTCTGCTGACAGCAGCCCAGAGATGTCAGCTACATTGGGCAATGTAAACATACCCTGCAGGAGAATCGTCTCTGGACAAACATGTTCACTTGTACTGTTCTTTTCTTTTACACTCAGGAAGTAGGGTTTGTTTTTTTTTTCCTTAGATGAGCTGAAACATAAACCAGTACAGAGGAGAAGGATAAGCTGGTGTCTAGTTAACATAAAAGTATGTACATGCTGGTACTCAGCAAAGTAGGCAATGATATTTCATAATTCAGTATGTTTCATAACTCAGTATTTTTCTAACTGCAATGAAGTGAATGGGACCTGGAGGCATGCACAGATTAGAATACATTTACAAGGATTTTCTGCTGGTTTATGTTAGAAACAAGCAGTTTTGCTGTTATTGGTGTGTCATCAGCAGCTCTGCTATCAGGAAGGTCAAGGGCATCTCTGTATTACACATCTCAACACTTTAGAACCTGCTTAGAGGATTGCCTCTGAAGGTGTGTTTGGTATTTGAACAGCGTGTAAGGAGTCTTACAAACCACAATAAATACAGCAGCACTTTTCTTGCACCATAATCATCTGAATGGGGATTCCTGAATTGGTGAATCATCTTCTTGTCCAGACAGCTTTTGAGTATCTCTGAGGAGGGTAGCTCCACAGCCTCTCTGGACAACCTGTGCCGCTCACTTCTCAGTCACCTTCACAGTGAAAAAGTATTTCCTATTCAGGGGGAACATCCTGTGTTTCAGGTTGTGCCCATTGCCTCTGGTCCTGTCACTGCCCACCACTGGAAAGAGCCCAACCCAGTCCTCTTTGCACCCTCCCTTCAGGTATTTAAATACATTGGTGAGATCCCTGAAACTTCTCCAGCCGGACAGACCCAGCTCTCTCCACTTTTCCTGAGAGGATGGATGGTCCAGTTCCTTCAGCTCCTTAGTGGCCCTTTGCTGCATTCTCTCCAGTATGTCCATGATTCTCTTTTACTGGGAAGCCCAGAACTGGACCCAGCACTGCAGGCGTGGCTTCACCAGTGCTGAATAAAGATGAAATAGCAGCGATGAGCTGCTTTGGTTGGTTGTGGACCTGTCTCTTCTATGTTTTGTGATGTACGGCAACTAAAACAGGCTTCATTGGGAACTCACCCGCAGTGAGAGATTACTTAATTAGTTCAGTTTCTTTTCTCATATTTCTGGTATGTGACGAGTCAAAGCAGACTCTTTTTGATTGCTTTCTGTTGATTTGGTGCAATTAAGGTTTAGTTAAAGCATGCAGTTGACTTACTGAGGCACTTCACATAAAAAAAAGTAATTCTGTTCTTCCTTTTGTACCACCAGTTTGGGTTTCTGTTATTCTTGTATCTTTCAGTCCAGTCAGCCAGTTGGATCCACTAACTTGAAAGCAGTGGCTGACTGGATCAGAACAATAACAATAAAGGAGTCCAGCTAACACAGTGAGAGGGTCCCTTGTTTGACAGCTATACAAAAATTGCATCACTGCTGCAATTCCAGCTGCTTGCCAAGAAGGAGACTGCAAATCTCTGTCATCAGAAAATCCTTCAATACCAATCCAAAAATATTGCTATCAAATTAAGATAATCCTTTTTGCCATATAGCCCAATATTTTTACAAAAATTCTGTGGTGAGGGCTTGTCTCCTTTCCTTTTTATTTCCTTGGTCCTCTAGGTTACTACATTGATCTAAAAAAATATGAATAAACCCATGTGCAAACCAATTCTTTGTTTAGCTGTTACTAAAATATAGTCAGTCACTGTGGGGTTTTGTTTTTTTCCTAAACTCCATTTCATTTAGACTGTAGCCTCATGGGAAGAGAGTCTACCTTTTTGTTTTCCAATATGTGTACATTGACTGCCAGCACAATGAGATTTCAGTGCAAGCCTGGGTAGCTGAAATAACAGGTCAGAGTTCTAAAAACTCCAGGCAATAAATCTTACCCTGTACTTTTCTTATTTTACTCCTATACCACAAACCTTCCACAGAGTAGCAGTTGAAGAGGAAAACAGGATTTAGAAACAAAATGTTAGGAATTAGAGTCATTTTTATTGTTAGTCACATCTAATAAAGGTCTCCTCTTTATTAGCTTTACTGGCATCATGCCATGGAGACAAAGAACAGTCTCCCTGAGAAGTGAACAAATGCAATTTGTCAGTTGGGATTCTGGGTTTTGTCCCAGCACACATGTTTAGCAAACTTGCAGTTGAACCTTGTTAATGAAAGAAGCTGTGTCATTGTTTGCAATTGAAACAATAGTTCAGGAAACGCTGTTGTTCGGGTCTGGTTTCTGTCAGTATGCTCATGCATGCCGGGTATCTTTGGCTGCTCAGATGCAGTATTTGTAACCTCTGAAACAAGCAGGGCGGCTATTTCTTTGACATTCTATGTGTCTAGAGCAGTGGATGCATTGAAACTAAGCTGTTTTTCCCACAGGCTACAGCTCACAAGCAGGACTTACTAGCTTGGGTGCAATTTCCATAAGATCCTGCTTTTTTTGACCAATATAGGTAACTCTACAATGTGCAGAATTCAAGTGTCAAAGCTCAGGTTTTCTTTGTGGAGAGTAGGTAGTCTCCCAGTGTCAGAAGGCAGGATTAGTAGAGTACTCTGGTTTATCTTACTGCTGGAAAAATTTATGCCCTCCTGGGAGAGGTGTTCATAGAAATCTGTTATAACGTGTTCTAAATGGCAGATTAGTGTGAGGAGAATGGGGTTACATAGATACGTGTAAGTAAAGATTTCATGTTCCCAGCATCTGAATTCCTTCATTAGTTTCTCATCATTGGCAAAGGAGTGAACAAGGAGTGAATAGTGAAGGTAATAAAGATGAAAACATGAACCTATTAAACTGTTACTCTTCTCCACCCAACCTGTAGATGTGTCTGCGATTGCTCTGACCCAGGTGTAGGACCTTTCACTTGGCATGGTTAAACCTCCTAAGGTTGGCATCAGCCCACCTCACAAGTGTGTCAAGGTCAAGCTTTTGGAAACAGAGCTAATAGGTAATTTTTGTATCGTGTGCTCTTGAAAGGTTGGGAAGAATATCTCTATGCAAGGCATTTGCTGTAAACAACCAAAAAATCCCCCTTACAGTGATGTGCAGAGGTACAAAAAGTGATGAAAGCTGGAGAGACACAGCTTGCAGTAGCTTGTTAGTAATCTGAGCATATTTGCTTTGCGTATCGTAAACTTTAGGCTTCTTCTGGGACAAACAAAAAATGCCCCAGAGATTAATTTATCACAGTGGCCTCATTTTAGTTTCCAGTTTCGTGCTTCTCATTTGTTGCATGCCTGATTTCATTCACCTTTATTTTTAAGCTGATTTCCTAAGCTCTGTGTCATGGTAATGTTCAGCAGTGCAGCTGAAGAGAGTTAGCCACGTAAGCGGAGCAAGCCAGGGAGTTTTCTTTCATGCCTGTGGAACAGCACAACCCATCTGCTGCTGAGAATGGGTTTGCGTGGTGGTGGAATGAGAGGTCAGAAGAACGTATTTCACAAGGTGGGAGAGGTTGGGGAGGGCAACCCAAGCTGTACCTTTCCTGGCAGCCTGGGTTGTCCCTGGACTTGTCTATGTGCAGGGTGGCAGAGCTCTGCTGGCAGCCAGGATGTGGGCACAAGGGTCTCTCAGCCAGGCTGGGGAGTCCCTGCTTACCCCAAGTATTCAGGCATCTGGGACATCCAGCTCATCAGGCTGCTGAGGGGTGTGTGAAACTCCAAAAATGCTGCCTCTCCTGTTGGTGTGAAAAACTTGTCACTGTGCTGCTGAAATCAATATGTTCCCGAGGAATGTTTTGGTGATGCGGTGTTTTCCATTGGAGAAAAGGTTCTGTTGAGAGATTACTGGAAGAGTCTGCCTGTTGCTATATGATGTGATGCTGTGTATTGCTTTCTGGAATCCAACGTGATATAATAAGACAAGTTTCAGCTGGTAGCTGAGAAGTCAACACAACCAATATCAATCCTGGATGTTTAATTTCCTGGTCAAGCAGCAACTTGTTTCTAAAACTGTGCCTTGTTTGTTTATGGCACAAGAAAGAAAACACTAAGAAAGGCTTTGGTTAACATCCAACTAGACCATAAAGTGTAAAGTAGCTCCAAGAGCTAAATTTGTGAACCTGATTTGTGTGATCATTAGACAGTCAATAAATATTTAAGAGGTACTTAGTAATACTTGATCGGCTGCAAAAGTGCCCACCTGGAAACACAAGCATATTCAGCAAAAGCAAATAGTGATGTATAAATACATTAAAAATGAGTCAAATGGAAGCCACTAAGCAGCAGTCATACTTTTTAGTGTCCCTAATGACAGGAGGTGATGTGACGGATGACACAGGTGATAGTCGTATGTAGAATGTCTCCCAAGCCAAGTCTCTGGTCTAGTAGGATGTAAAAGATGGGAGCAAAAGAATATCCTTTGTGGTCCATGGGATAGTTGGGATGCAGCAAGTCTGATGCCAGCTGTTTATCTTTACAGTGGTCCTGCCCACACATTGCAGATGTGAATGCAAGCAAATGGCAACCCTCGTGGGGCTCCCCAGCCATGACAGTCAGTGAGCATGTGTACACAATTTTGACATTGCAGCCACCAACCCAAACCAGATTCCTGTTCAGCTCCTGCATGGCTGAAGAGGTGCTAAAATTCTCTGGATATCTACTGATGTGCTTAGATCAGAGATACTTGAGGTAGTTTTAAACAACAGTGGTCGTTGAACAATACTGAGAGAAGGATGAAACAAGGCAGTATAGTTAATTCAGTATTACGTGGAGACGTTGTGCATACCAACATAATTCCCAAGACAAGATATGATATGGTCAATGGTCATCAACTACTTCCTCATTAATGAGGACCTTCTAGATAATAGAGATTGATATCTTACATCCTCTGATGTAATGTTGATATCTTACATCCTCTGATATTAGCTCTATATACACTGGGTCCAGATATACCAGTCTTTTATTTGGTGAACAAATTAGTATCCATTTTCTCTTTAACTCTCTCTGTTTCTCTGTAACCAGAATTTGCATATAGAGTTACATAGGAGTTTTTAACTATTATTTTCTTTCACTGAGGTTGCCTTTGTGCCTGTTGCTGCTTTTCCTCCTCTGGTACTCTAGCCCTTACCCAACCTAGGAATGTTAGAAATCCAGTATCACCGTGTGCTTTCCTTCAGCATGGGGAGTAGCTGGGTGTCTCTTCTATGGTTTGTGCCTGAAGCTGGACATTTTTAAGTGACCTGAGAGTTGCTTTGAGCAGGGCTGAAATGACATGGTATGTAAGACAGGAGTTGGTTAATTTGGTGACTGTGTGACTTAGCATGTGTCAAAACCTGTGGTGGTGACAGCCAGTGATCAGTTGTAACCAGAGCTGATTTCTTCTTAGTGGCAGCAAAAAGCACCATTTTGTTGGGGAAGCAAAACTGCTTCCAAATGACTTGCTCTCTGTGGACAGGGCCAAGATGTGCCATGCAGAGGTCCTAGCTTAGCTGGAGGAGAGGGTGAGTCATGAGGGACTTGGAGCTGTCCCAGTGCAGTGCTTCATTTGGCCCTTGTTGCATGAGCCACTGAGCTCAGATGAGTGCCATGAGCTACTGCCTTGGTGGCGTCCCTTTGCACCTTCATCCTGCATGAGGATGTGCCCAAGCTAGCATGTCAATTGCCAGTGAAGAGTTGATACAGTTCTCTGCTGTGGCAGATGAGATGTGTTCAACTGCCTGTTTGGAGCAACTGTGATAGAGAGAGCCAAGGGCAGGTTTGATGGGGCTTTGAGCCACCTAGACTAGTGGAAGGTGTCCCTGGGGGGGTTGGAATGAGATGATTTTTAAGGTCCCTTCTAAACCAAACCATTCTGTGGTTCTGTGATAGTGAAGAACCTACTTTTGGGTTGTATGTGTCCTTCAGCTTTGAAATTTCCTTTAGTTCCGAGTATACTGCCAAACCCTTCTGGGGGAGGACAAAGAAAGTTGGGTTTTGGCAAGATTTTTGGGAATCGTCTAGGGAAGTGGAGTAGTGGTTCTCATACAGACATTCAGTAAAAGCACAGCATTCCTCCAGATCTAGAGAGCTTCCTGTAGGTTTTGTATGAATAACACAAGCTTTAAGTTTTCTGAGCAGTTGTTGGTATGTGGGCAGAGATGCTTATTAGTTCACATAATGCTTACATCTTGTCACTGAGCCTTTCACTAGTAATCAACAACAAATTGCTGCAGCTCAGGATAGATATATAACATAACTCTTAAAGGGAAAAAAATAAAGGAAAAATTCAACTATCACCTAGGCGAATAAGGTACAAGTTTTAAACCAGTATTGTTTTTATATTATGTTTTTAGTTAATGGCAAGAATGCCTTGGTTGTTCTTCTATATAGTTTAAATCATGGATACAAGTAGAGTTAATGCAGTCTTTCTGTGATAATAAATTCTCAGTTGCAAAGTTAATGAGTAGGATGTTTTCTGCCTCTGAACAGGAGGATATCTTTGCTTTCTCTACTAGCATGTTCTTTTTCCTTTCTTCAGTCCCACTCTTGCCATGGCCCACAGGAATCTGACTGGGAGCTGTAATGTTAACTGTGGATGTAAGATTCATGAGTACGAGCCTGTCTGTGGATCAGATGGAATAACATATTTTAATCCTTGCCTAGCTGGCTGCATCAGTGGTGGAAATCATAGCACAGGGGTAAGTGCTTCACCCTCCCAAACACCTGCAACCTGCAAGTAGCCCCTTGGGACTGATGTGGATCAAAGACTGCTCTGTTTCTGGCTCAAACATCCCCCTTCTAAGCTTCAGAGGAGTTGCTGTGCAACTGACTAGACCATGAGTATTTCCATGTTCTGAGAGGCTGGTAATGCTATTACTGCATGCTCTCCCCCCCTTCCTTTTAGTTATGTACAAATGTGAGGCACAAGTTCATTTGTACCAAGTAAATCCTCCAGCCAAGTGAGTGCAAAGTGCCACAGTGTAGGGAAGGTTGGTGTTTCCATTACAGACTCGGATGTCCCTGATGGCAGTGGCCTGTGTGTCTGCTGTTCCTGCAGGAACTCTCCTTTCCTATTCCTGCAGGAACAGTACTTGGAGAGGCTTGTTTCTGCAGGGATTGGAGCAGGGACCTAGAGTCAATGTCATATAATTCAGCTTTCTGATAGGCACAGGCAGCCATGACATACTACCTTTCTGCAATCTCATCAGTGTTACTCACAAGACCTGTTCTGGTTTTTTTTTGGCTCCCTCTCTGAATGGAAGGAAAAATTTGACTCTTCAGGTAGTTGGAAGTGTTTAAAGCTCCCATTTAAATTGAGTTATGGGCTGTAAAGTCATTGGTGTTTGTGACAGGCTTGTCATTTTGCATGCTAGCTGTTGCACCTGCAACAGTGCATTGATAGGTCCTTTTGTTTGTGTAGACTGCCAGTGTATTCTGCTCCGGTAAAATAGTTCGGCCATTCTCATAACCTTTCTTTAAACCTCTCCCAGGCTAAATGAAGTGTCACTGAACTCAAGTAACCAGAACATAAAGGAGTTAATAATCTACTTTCTTTCTTGGACATACATTGCCTGTACAGCCCAGTTTTCTAGTTATGCTCTACTGGAGAAGGGCATCCTGCTGGTAAAATCACACCATGGAAATCTGGCAGTTTCTAGGAGTGGGCAAAAGAAAACAGCTGAAATGTAGAATCTGACCTAAATAACATCAGAGCATTATATTTGTACAGACCCCAAACTTTGAAATTCTGTTACAGAACCATCCTTTAAAAAAGAATAATTATGACAAGAATTAATGTAAATACGGATTTTCTCAGGACCTGACTGTGCTTTTCAGAAAGCTTATTTATAATGCTTTATAAATAAGGATTTGCAGTCCTGAGCCAGCCTGTGAAGCAGAAGGTTGTTAGGTGCAGTGCTCTGCTTTCTAAGTTGACTAAATAATGGTCTGAAATGGCAGGTTCATACACAGATGCCACAGAACAGATTATTTTCCTTTATATTTTTGTTTGTTAAAAGTATCTTGCTGTTTTTTAGTAGAAAATTGCTTTGGCCCAATTGGAAAAGCCTGTGATGTGAGCCTGTAGCTAACTTTCAGTGTCTATATGAATCTTATTTGTACTTTGCTGGACTGAGACATAGGTTTGATCTTTGCTGCATTTCACCTGATATCAAGCTGGCACTATTAATACATTTACTAGGGAGGTAATTTGGGAGTGCTTTTCACTACAGATTTTGAAACAAACTGTCTCCCCTTACAACTTAATAAAAAATGCTTCATGGCCTGAAGTTTTAACTTGGTAGCTAGCAATGAACAGAATAGGGCCAACACTGGTAGGAAAATACGTATCTTCATTGAATAATGCTTTATGTAGAGTACTTTTAGAAAACTAAATATAATCTTGTCCCACCATATAACACACAAACTGTTGCTAACCTATAACATATGGATTTAAATTTAGAATATACAATGTTTTCAGAATTAGCCATTTAAAAATTAGAAATGGGAGAAAAAGATGCCAGTGTGCAGTTCTTACCTGGGTTTTATATGTGTTCCTCTACTGTATTGTTTCTGTTGTGCCATATCTTTTTCATTTAGTGAATGGACTTGGTTTCTCTGGTGATAAACCCAGATTGTGTAGTAAAGATGGCTATTTTCTGTATGATATATGATGCCTATTTGGTATTTGCATTTGAAAGCAGTAAGATTAAGGTGAGGGACTGTAGGAGGAAGCAGGTACTCACTTGGTATTAGAGTGGAGCCTTTGGAAACTGGGTTCTGTCATTACCTTCATTGCTAAGCGATGTTGGGCAAGTCACTTAAGCAAAACGTTTCCCAGTCAGCCATTAATCTTGTATTTTTCATATTCCAGAATGAGGGACATGAGCGATAACCAGAAATGTCATTTGTAGAAGCACTGACTGCCTAAATTGTATGTGAAGGCACAAAAAATTATGTTTAGAATATAGTAAGTTATATATAATGTAAAATGTTCTGCAAAAAAATGAGTCCAATTGTTTGAAATTAGTCACCCACATTTATGAAACCTTTGATCTGTTTCAGTTACTTAGCTACAAAATAGAGATAACAGCATCAGTGCTTCATCTCATAACTGTTTTGAAGTTACTCCTTTTTGAAAAAGTTAAGCAATAATGGTGAGTCTGATAGAAAAATACTTATGAAAAGTGAGTCATTCTGTCTTTGTAGAGGAATATGTTTAGTGTGAGAAGAAAAATACCTGGAGCCACATTTTGAAAGTGGGAGGTAAAAATTGATAAATTGTTATGCTAACTCCCATGGGCAAAAATGTGAGGTTATGTCAGAGCACAAACAAATACAAAGGTGTACATTAAAGTTGACAAGTAACCATAATTTGGTTATTTCCTTGTGTCCAAGTGCTTAAATTTGCAACCTTAAGATGGTGTCATAATGCATCTTCTGTGCACATTTGGTCTTAGATTTTATGACTGAAAACATTGAAAGGAAAATCTCCTTTGTGTAACATCACACGACCTGTTTCTTCTCTAGTGCTAGAGTATTCTATCTGCGCACCCCTTTCCCATTAGATTTGTTGAAAACAGTAGTAAAATAAGTGTGACAGGAGGCTATTACTGACCTAGCTCTTTGTCATGGTTTACGCCCACTCTTCCTCACCTTGCTTAAATCATGATCCCCTTTGCCAATGAAATGCCAATTCTTTATTCAGTCTTTTCATCCTAATTTCAGCCTCTCTGCTCATGTAAGAGTTTTTCCTGTCCTCTGGTCTCACTGTTTAAATCTCTGCTTTCCCCTTATTCACTGGTTTTGTTCTTGTGCACATCCCATCCACATCCACTCCTACATCCAGCTGGAAGGTCCTGAGCTCCAAGTGTGAAGTGGAGCTTGTTACTCTTTAGCTGAATTTGGGTATACTTCCACTGAAATGGCAGAAGACAATTCCTGAATATGAAGATCAACAGCCTGCCAAATTCCAGAAAATGGCATTGTGAGTGTTGTGTAAAGAGTGTTTCCTCACAGGTTTTGTAATACAGTAGAAACGTGCTTTCTCCAGCTTCCCTGTCAGAAGTGATTGAATTGTATTGGCAGAATTTTACAAAAATATTCCAGACTTTTTTTTTATTTTTTTTTTAATAAAGCCTAAATGAAACAATGGAAGTGCAATCTCATTATGGAGAGTCCTGTCCAGCTTTAAAAATACTTGGATGGTAACTTCACTTGTACTTGTGGTAATGATGCTAGAGATAAAAATTGGGGGGTACCATGGGACTGTCATACCATGTCTCTGCGCAGTGTCTTTCTTGCATGGGTTTTTAATGTGGAGATGTTCTTTTCACTCTCCCCAGGTAAGAAATTACACAGAATGTGCCTGTGTCCAGAGTCGCCAGGTGATCACTCCACCCACGGTGGGCCAGCGTAGTCAGCTCCGGCTGGTCATTGTCAAAACCTACCTGAATGAGAACGGCTATGCTGTTTCTGGGAAGTGTGATCGAACCTGCAACACGCTTATCCCGTTCCTAATATTTCTCTTCATTGTTACCCTCATAACAGCATGTGCCCAGCCATCAGCAATCATAGTGACACTCAGGTGAGAACTCAGTTATGGTTTTTTTTGCTGTGCCTGCTATCACCAGTACTTATGTCAGAAGAGGCTGGGGCAGTGCAGCCAAACTCCTTCAAGCTTATGTATCATTAAGAAGTGAATAGAATAGGGCTGACAAGGATAGGGTGGAACTTGCTTGTATTTAGAATATGTAACAGGATAATCCACTTTAGGAAACATGCAGTGCCCAGCAAATTTCAGCCACTATAAAGAGACAACAAGTAAAAACATCAGGTAAGAAAATAATTACTCCTGAAGAAGTTTTCAACCTTCTTAAAGCAATGGTTTGGATTTTCAAGTACAAATAAAAAAAGTTAGTACCTAAAATTATCAGGAGTGGGCACATCAGACTTCCAGTTGCTTGTGCAGCCTTAGTTCAACTACCATGTGCACAACACTGTCATAATTCAGAGACTTCTGACCTTATTCCTTCTGATTCCGGGTTTTCCACCTGTACAATAATTATTATAAAACCATTGTCGTTATGCTGACATTACACAGAACTAAACTACGGTCAATGAACATTAATGTTGCACTAAGTCTAACAATAGAGAGGTGCATAATGGACATATCCAGCAGGATTTTGTAATGTTCAGAGAAAAAAAAGATGGCCCCCACACATGAACAGTGACACCCACTGCCTCAGACTACATATTGTGCACAGTGCTTCGGTCCAAGTTCTGTGACCCGAGTTGGTTCTCTGATTTCTCAGTTTCTGAGTGAGTGCTTGACTTCAAAACTTTGATTTTACAGCTGCACCCCCTTGTGTGTTTTTACCTTATATTTCAATGTCATTAGAAACTGCCTAACGTTAATTTCAGACCTTTAGGTTAAGATTTAAAAGTATTTTTTAATGAGAAGAAAATTTGTGGTTTACTAAAGTTGTAATTGCATTGTGGTATATCATTACTTTGTATCTGGTCTTTTGAAAGGTTGACATTTTGCCTTGGAAACCAATGGAAGAAATCTCATATTACTTGTACTGAAAAGGAACAGTGTTCAAAGAGACTGTTTGGATGTTTCTACCAATATTTTTCCTAAAGCAACTCTGAAGCACTTAATGCTGCACAGAGATCTGTTGCATTCAGAAGCTGAGTCCAGCTTTCAGCAAGTTAATTCTCCATTAAGTCTAATTTTTCTAAAAAAAATTAAGAAAGTAAAGCAAGGCATTATATGAAATAATAGGAAATTATAATGAGAAGCCATAAACATTTTGGTTGGATTCTCTAAATTTCCTTAATGGGTTTGAATCAAATTTGTCAGGCTTTACGCAAGTAAAGAAAGGTTAAAAGGCGTGACTGAGATTTTGATTAAACAGGAACAGGAGGAGTTGGCAGCATTTTTTTCCTAGCAATAAGAGTTAACAATATTTAAAGCTAAATGGAATATTTAAAGCTAAATTTAAACAAGGATCTTTTTATAGCTCAGAAAAAACATAGGACATCCCACAATGATTATCTGTTATGACTGTTTCTTCAGAGGAGTTTTCATTTTGCCTGCTAGGTCTGTAGAAGATGGGGAGCGGCCCTTTGCACTAGGAATGCAGTTTGTTTTATTACGAACTCTTGGTAAGTTTTACAATTATTCAGCATTTCAATAAAGGTTCCCTGAATTCAGCTTAAATGTACCAGAAAAATACTAAAATTCCATAAATCTGCAAATAATTGTCTGACTAATTTTATTAGGAACTTAAAATTACTAGCTTCTAAAAATATTGTAGCTAATAATGCATTTATTTTTTTTATCTATTACTGACTTTCTGGGACATTTTTGTCCCATAGATATTTTTACAGTTTCAAATTTTATTTAAAAATTCTTACTAAATTTTATAAGGATTTTTTTTTTTTTTAGAAACCAATTCTTATTGCTTTTAGCAAGAACAATAGCTTTTTTGCATTTTTTAAATCAGAAGCAATTATTGCTTAGTGTCTAATTTCAAATGTTTCAAATCAAAAAGAGTACATGTTAAAAGTCTATTCCACTGAAGTAGTTTCTTTCAAGCTATTGAACTTCTATAAAGAAACACTGAAAAGAGCACTGTGGGTTCATCTACTACAAAGCATATGACTAGAGCAGGCAAGGGCTCTTCTAAGAGAACAAGAGGAAAAGCCTGTATAATCGCATCTGGAAGTTTCTTTTGAGGAAGGGCATTTTGGACTTAAAGGTGTTGTGTTTCTGGAGAAAGCAGGAACCTTCAGTGGGTTGGCTGCATTTTTAGCAATCTTAGAAAAGTCTATTTCTGTAGAAGATTGATTTGAAAGAAAAATTTATGACAATTAAGACATTTTGTAGTCATTGGGACTTTTTCTTCTAACCTAAAGCAGCAACCTCAGCCCTTTCCTAGCTCATGGTCAATGGATGTTCAGCAAGGAATGCTCTGAAGACAGTGTTGTATTTTGTTCCTTTTCTGCCTTTTTTTTCCTGAGAGCATTATTGGATTTTCTTTTGGGGGACACATAACTCAAGAAGAGGTGTTTGTGGACAGCAGGTTGCTTCTCTCCCATTTGTGGTTCATTTCATGTATAGGATATGTAGTGTTGGTCGGAAGATTGGTTGACCAGTTTTCTGTATCCTACACTTCATGTGAGAACAGTGATATAGAAATCTCAAAAATTATTAACCTACACTGTTCAGCTAAGGCAAATAGTTCCTTTAGAAGCCTTCCACTATATGCTAACACATTATTTCTGTTGCTATTTTCTTTCAGCTTACATTCCCACTCCAATTTATTTTGGGGCTGTTATTGACACCACGTGCATGCTTTGGCAACAGGATTGTGGCATACAAGGATCTTGTTGGGAATACGATGTCACCTCGTTTCGTTTTGTCTACTTTGGACTGGCAGCTGCTCTCAAGTTTGTGGGATTCTTTTTTATTTTCCTGGCCTGGTATTCCATTAAGTGCAAAGAAGAGCAGCTTCAGAGACAGAGATGGAGGGCTTCACCGGTGAACACTGTGAGTGAGATGGTTGGCCAAACTGGACCCCAACAAAACTATGCACGGACTAGATCCTGCCCTACCTTCAGCTCCCGAGGGGACATCAGTGTGGCACAACGAATGAATTGCGTAGCACAGACATACCCTGGCCCTTTTTCAGAAGCAATAAACTCCTCGTATGAAAATGCATTGGAAGAAGTCACTGCTGAGATATAGACCCCTGGCTTGGTAATGTAGTCTTTAGTTTTGTTGGTTGACTTACTTATGGCGCCTTGTAAAACACCTGTGCCTTCTATTTTTAACCTAGATGTAACATGTGATAAAACCAACAAAGCTTAATGCAAACAACCATAGTATATTCCTGAGGGCTGGATACCTCATACCAACCTAAGCTCTTATTTCTCCCCTCCCAACAATGGAGTTTTAAAAATTCTGTTTGTAATTATTTCAGATGTGTCCATTAAATGTCCATGCTCTGATCTAATATCAGTGTAAGGGTGAGGTACTGTGGACAATAGAAGTCAGTGAAAGAGTGACAAAAACTCATATCATTAATGTCTAGACGTCACAAAAACGCTTAAATGTATCGTCAACTTCATATCCACAAATTGTATTTTTAAGAGATGAGGAATTACTGTGAGTTCTGCTACGAAGCACAACTGAACTTGTTTAAACTATGCAACTTATTTGGACAATTGTATGTGCAGCAAATTGAGTTTAAAGTTTGCTTTTAAAAACATTACTGCAACTGAACTGAAAGGGGCTACTTTCAGACATAAGCATTAAATTTTAAAAGAACATAAGGTTTAAAGTACTGTTACTAACATGTTAAGCCATACAAAAGTTGTGTATCAGGTAACATTTGCAAAAGTTGAGTCATAATATTTTTATCCTGTCAAAATGTGCATTAATTTTCAATGTAGTCATTCTTCACAAAGTACACAGGCTAGGAAAATATAATGCTTGGAGTAAAAAACTTCAGTATTAATTTATAATAACATTAAGATGTAGGAATCACACACACATACCAGAGCAGATATGTGCATATTTCTGTCGTGTTATCTGGGGAGCTATTACTAGCATCAGATCCATACTTTTCCTGAAGAAGAAAATAACTGGGTATAGCTTGATAAGAAGAACTTGGCTGTGCTTCAGTGAACAAATCTTTAGGAGAGCTAAGGGCCTCATTTCATGTTTGACTGGCCACCTGGGATGCAGCAGACCCCTTGCAGCCTGTGATGGCATGGGGTTCGGGCTGTCATCGCTTGCTGCCCTGCTGTGGGTTTGAGCAGCCTGCCCGTTGTGGTGCCTGGTATGAGCATGGCGGGACAGGCCTGGAGGTCCTAGTTGAATGGTTTGTCCAACAAGTGGACACCTTTCCTTTTCGCAGCTTCATTAAAAGCTTCTGTGAAGGCAAAGGGCGAGTCATGTCTCCTTTGCCCTTCCATGGGAAGAGCTAACAATAGAAATTGTCTGCAAGTGTGGACCCACAGGGTGTGATGTGGCCTTTGCATATTCCTAATTACTGTAGTGTGCTTTCTGCCCAGGAGGTGCTGAGACTTTCTAATGAAATGTACTTGGCATTTCATTTCTTGCCCTGGAGGCTTTGTAGTGGCATGCACATGATGTACTAATGATGTCTCAAAGGGCAGGGAACAATTTCAGGTGGACCGTAGGAAATCAAAGTTGTAGTTTGCCCTGCAGGGAAAGTCTCAGAAGTTTAGGAATTTAAAAAGCACTCTTTGAAGAAGACTCATTGATAGTCAGGTTTGGATTTTGCCATGTAGAGAGCTTGCATGAAAATAAATAGAAAAGAGCAGAACTTCTGCGTATTTTTGGACAGAGTTATTCCTGGTTTAATTTTTAATTGCAAGTTGATCAAATGTTACGTGGAACCAAGTTCTTGAAATGAAAGGCAATATTCTCCTTGGCATCCATTGAGTTGTCTTGGGAAAAGCAGATTTCCCTCTCCTCCTTTGCTGACTGCCTTTCCTAATCCCATGGCTCTTTTTGACTGGCACATGGGACTACCCATGGGGCTGTTTTCCTTGCTTGAAACAGTAGCTGCTTATTTCGGAGTATCTCAGTCCATTTATATAGCTTGGAATAATTTCCACTTACTCTGCAAACTCAGATGCTTCTACCCCAAACTGCAACATAGAGGAATATTGTTATAATCACCTCCTCCTATTAAGTACATATTCATAGCTTTCTGGGATCAAGCCTGAGAATTTTTTTCTCTTGTGCAGCCACCAGATACAATACATCCTCAGTCAGCATGTGCCACCTGAGATGTTACTTTCTATACTTCTCAGCCTGAGAAATAAATTTCCTTAGCTCAAATGTATTTGGTATATTTCTTTTTGCCATAGGAGGTCAGAATAGATGATAAAAATATTCCCATTTTTTCTAGTCTCAAATGCTTCTTGCACCAGGAATTTCCTGCCATTGCAAAAATCGAGGCAAAGTAGTAGGACAAAACGTAATTGCAGCCCATCACCTATGCCTTTTAATCACTTGCCCATTTTAAGCATCCTGGGGTGAGATGAAGAACAACAATCTTCTCATATACCTCAGAAACAACATACAGGAAATTGTAAAAGGCTGGAGATGAATCATCTATCCTGTTCTATTTTGTTTCATGCCTTGTATGTGCTTCTTTTCCATGTAAATAACAAAGGAGAGAAGATTAGTCTTGTAGGATTGTCAGGAGCTGACGCTGGTGGCAAAGAATGAGAGTGATAGAAGTGACACATCTGCAACTGCTGCTGCTTCTGAGCTGATTTCAGGGGAATTCAAAGCTTGTTGGAATGGTGGCCACCTGTTTTTTTAGGAAATACTGACAATTCAGCTTCTAAAAACATTATTTTTTTTTTAAATGTTTGAGAAACTGAATGTAGAAGGAAAGATGTTCAATTTGGAAATACCAAAAAAGCCTTGTTTACATACTTTCAATAGCCTTTTAATTTTCCTTTCAAAATCATATTCGAAAACAAAAAGTAATTTGTTACTTTTCAAACAAATTTGTTAGTGTTTTTGGAGATAGATGATTTTGACAATATGAATATATTTCTACAAAATCACTTAATTAAATCAGCACCCTCTGAAAGAAAGAAAACCCAAACTCTAGCCTGTTTTTGATTGATTCCTGAAAGAGGTTTTATTGTGAGTAAGCTGTAACAGTCTAAACCAAGCCAGTAACAGCACACAGGGGAAGTGCATTAACTTCTTAGAGAACTCAATTTCACCTTGTCAACATTGACTGAAATGTGGGCTGAGACCTGCTGAACGAACACTGTTTTCTGAGGTTGTCATTGCTGAAGGAAGAAGCAAAGTTGCTAGAGAAATTGTGTGCATCCCTAGCAGTAGTCATGATTTGTGTATGGTGATAAACTGACTCACAAGAAGAAAAAAGGAACTTTATCGGTCACCTGGTGAAAATAGCCATGCTATTTTCTTGTTGCGAAATCCTCTGACCATAGAATATATAATTCCATTCACTTGTAATTTCTGTCACCTTCCCTCTCTACCACCAAATACTAAAGGCTGCATAGTAGCGAGTACAAGAAAAGGTAGTGCAGGTGTCCCAAACACTCACAGGATGCTATTGGTAGTAGCAAATCCAAGTCGCCTACAGGAAGTTAACCAGCCAGAGATAGTATGGAGCAATCATATTGTCATTATCTGCAAGTCCACAAAGTACCATCATGCCAAGGCACAATGCTCAAGAGCAAACTTGATTTCCATTTACACCACTTATTCCTGATTTAGGGTGAGAGACATGAGAGGAGAAGTATCCCCTTGGACTACTTTTAGAGTGAAGTAGCCCCCTATGGACCTGACTGAAGCTTCCCATTCATCCTTGTTTCCCCAAAAAGGGGAAAACCTCAGAAAGGGCATAGCCATTTCCTTGAGTGCTTATGAGTGCAGCAGCCTCCAGAGATGGTTCATAGATCTTTTGGAGGTTGGAATACCTGGAGAGTTGGACTCTCCGTATTTCCAGTTCTAGGCAAAAGCCCTGTGGTTTTGTTCTCTGGTCTTCTCCATGAGCATATTGGATAGAATATGGTATAATTTGTAAGTGGTGGCATTTTGTATCTTTTCAGTACAGTGTGAGAGCAGCAAGGAACACATTGAATATTATCATGCAATTTATATGTAATTGGAAGCATTTTGTTCTTTAAACAAACCTACCTTTAAAAGTGCACGTAGTAACATGAATATCTTCAGAACTTGCTGTTCTGTAAGTGAAGAAGGGGCACAAATCTCCTCCTAGGCATTAGAATTATAAACTTGAAAAGCCCCAGATTAGTTACAAACACCTGAGTGTAGTGTTTTGAAAAATATGGATTCTTCTTTTTTAAAAAATATACTTATTAATTCTTATCATTAACTATCCATGCATTATGGCTCTGATTCAGCAGAACACTCAACTATGTGTGTAAGTTTATATACTTATTATTTAAGTAGTGCACTTAAAAATAATGCATATATGTCAGTATTGGACTGAATCCCATTTTCATTCAAAAAGGAGATCCTGTACCCAAAGAGTAATTTCCATGCTGAGGTTTTTTTCACCATGGATTCAGTGATCATTATAACCAGAACAGCACAAAGTAGCACTTGAGTACTCCCTGGAGGCATTCATGTGTGGTTACTTTTGTATCTGGCAGTGGACGAAAGCCTTCATTTTCAAATAGAATTCAAATTTAAAATATTTTGTGGACATGCTCAAAGATACGTTCTAACTTTTCCTGTCAATCTCTTATTTTCTCAGTTTCTGGCTGAAAATGTGTGTTAGGTGGGGAGATAGATTAAATAAGGGCATCTTTCTGACCTTAAAGCTAATGAAATTGCTTCAAGTAACACTTTAGATTGTGCCCTTTCACAGAATTTGGACTAAAGGTTCAGATGGCAAATTTTCAGTGTCCAGCGCAAACAGAGCAGAGCACTGTCTGCTCAGTGTAACAACTCAGAATGGCTGAGAGAGGGGTCAGCAGGTCCTGTACTGTTCTTGCAGGTTTTCCCCCAAATGCCTGGGTTATTGCTGCCTTATTACGCTTCCTGTGTGTGTAATATCACAACTCTTCATGGTGTTATATTGACATAAAACTGATGATAAATAGTCCAAAGTGTCTTACTTCTGTTTTGGAGCCAGATTCTCAGTCTCATCAGTGCGATGATGAGGCTGAAGGATTGGACCAGTAACTTGGGTTGGACATTACCAAGCTGGTGCTTTAGCAAGTGTGTGTGAGCTAAGACATATCAAGTGCTTGTTTAGCATTTATACTCTGTTCACTGGTTGTTATTACTTTGTTACTGGTTGTTAGATCAAAGACAAACTATTTCCTAATTAAGTCTATATTTTTCTGTTTTCTCAATAATGTGTATTTTATAGCAGCACAAGAGATGCTATGCTGCATGCTGTAGTGTCGGGGTTCCCCTAGCAGAAGCCATACAGCTGTGGTTTCCTTCCAGGGGCTTAAAACACCTGGTGACAGAGATTTACCTGGACTGCAGTCTGAATCAGTATTGCTTTGGACAGTGTTTGCCCCTTGTAGATTAAACCTGTATCAACATGTTTGATTCAGGTTCTTCACGTATCAGACTTGATTTTACAGACATTTTTATCCCTCAGAGTGCTTAGAAGGTGGACAGTCAACATGATATTATGGTAGTTCAATTAGGGCTTTCTTTTTATCTTATAACATTTTATGAATAACAATTCAAAAAGGTTACATATCAACACTGTTGCAGAATAGAGATGTGGAGCCTTCAGCTTGGGCACTAGGCATGGCCAGGGTTCACATGATTTGTCTTCTTTACACTGAATATCACAAATACATGTTATTATGTGGCCAAAAGTTTGAAAGCCTACCTGATTATCAGGAAGGATTTTTTTCTTATCCTTTCCACAGAATATATTACATAAATTAAGGAGGACAGCTAATACTATCTATAGCTATATCCATTATGTTCACTATGGTAAATAACTGTACTTTTTAACAATTCCCCCCTTCAGTCCTTTAGATAAGCTATTTTCATTTGACTTAATACAGCCTTTTAAACACAGATAGCTCTGCAAGTTCAAAGTAGCTACAAACATTTCTTGGTTTCAAGTGTCATGAAGCAGGCTATTTATTCAGGTT